GAGGCCATGAGGCCGGAGGAGCAGGAGGGCAGAGAGGAGGCCATGAGGCCGGAGGAGCAGGAGGAGGAGGAACAGTGAGAAGAGTTGTGCTGAGGAAGGACACACAGGGAGGAGGCAGTGCAGGCAAATCCCGGGGCACACAGGAGGTGCTCAATAAATGCCCATTCTCTTCTCCAAAAGAGAGCCCAGAAAACAGAGAGGAGAAGCTGGCAGAGAGAAAGAGAAGTGGGGAGAAAGAGGCAAGAGGAGATGAGATGCAATGTTAATCACCTGGCATACAACGGGTACTCCATAATGCTCCTTTCTGTCCCCCAGAAAGATAGATGGAGCAGAAAGAAGGAGAAGAAGCCAGAGACAAGGAACAAGGAAAAGCGAGGTCATAAGGGGAGAGGTAAGTGTATGAAAATTGACTGGCACACAGCAGACACTCCATAAATGCCAATTTCCTTCCCTGGCACAGAGCGGGGAAAAAAGCAAAAGTCAGTAGAGACCATGAGTCACTGGAGATGGGAGGGTAAGAGGAGAGAAAGCATGTGAATTGGTTGGTACACCAGAGGTGCTCAATTAATGTGTTCTCCGCCTTGGAGGAGAGCAGAGAAAGACAAGCAGAGGACGAAGAGGAGGGACAGGGGAGAAAGAGGGTGTAAGGACAGGAGAGAAAGTATGTAAAGTGCCTGGTACACAGAAGGTGCTCAATATGTATCTGTTTTCCCCCAGAGATACAGCAGTCAAGTCAGAAAAAGAGGAAACCAATAGAGAGAAAAGCAAGGAATTGAAGGGAAAGAAGAGTGTACTAACAGAGGAGATAGTGTTTGTAAATTCCCTGGCACACAGTAGGTACTCAATAAATGCCCATTTTTCTTCCTGGGAGTGACTACAGAAATCAGAAAGGAGAGAAAGGAATCAGTGTGGAAAAGATGGGAGTAAAAAGGGTATAAGGCATGGAGGCAGTGTATGGAAATTGCCTGTTAAAGAGTAGGTGCTTAATAAATGCCCATTGCCTTGCTAGGAAGCGAGCCAGAAGCACAGGAAGAACAGGCAGAGGACGGGGTAAACAGAAAGGTGTGAAGAGAGGCGAGAAGGTATTTCAGGTGCATACAGTAGGTGCTGGATAAATGCCTATTCCCTTCCTCAGGCAAAGCAGAAAGCAGGCAGGGAGTAGGAGACCCCAGGAAGGGAGCACAGAACGAGGAGGATGAGGAGAAAGGGGAGTCAGAGGGTGGAGGCTGGGCTGCCAGGTGGGGACCCCAGAGCAACTGGCCAGGCAGCATCCCCCCTTCCCCCCAACAGCCAGCCCACCCCACCCGCCCTGTTCTCTGGGAGCCAGGACAAGGGCCCATTGTCCTGGGCCTGGCATAGCAAGGCCGGGGGTGGGGCGGGGGGTGCGTAGGGAGGGGGAGGGGAGGCTGCCCAGCCCTGCCCAGACTTTGCCCACTGGTGTGTATGTGGGGGGTGGGGTGGGAGGCGCTGCCTGGTCTCTTATCCCTGTGTCTCTCTGTCTCTGAGTCTCTACCATCTCCCTGTCTCTGAACTTACATCTCCCCATCTCACTCACTCTCTGTCTCTGTGTCCTACTGTCTCACTGAGGGGACCAGTCTCTGGGTTTATGTCCCCCCCAACTCTGTCTCTCTTTGTCTCTGGTTCTCCATCTGTGTTAATCTGTCTTGCTCCCTCTGTGTCTTCATCTGTCTCTCAGCCTCTGTTTCCTGCTGTCTCTGAGAGGGGGGAGCCCCCCACCCACCCAGGACTGGGGCTAGGGGCGCTGAGCTTAGAGGCAGGAGATTGAGGAAGGAAAGAAGGAGGCGAGAGGAGCAGAGAGAGGTGAGGACAGAAACAGCTTTATTCAGCAGAAAATGGCAGCAGAGGGCCCAGGGGTTCCGCCTCCATCTGGGCCAAGTTGGAGAGAGGTGGAGTCAGAGACAGACAGGGAGACTGAGACAGAGACCAAGAGAAACGGTAAGAGAGAGAAAGAGAAAGAGACAGAGAGAAACCAAGAAAGAGAAAGACAGGGAGACGGAGAGGCTGAGAGAAACGGGAAGAGAGAGATTGAGAGAGACTGGGAGAAAGATGAGATGGAGAGGGGAGAGAGAGAGAAGGTTGGAGAGAGAATAAGAGGTAGAGAGACAGACAGACAGAAGGAGGAGGAAGAAACAGATATATATATAGAGAGAGATGGGGAGATGAGAAACAGACACACAAAGAGAAGGTCGAGGAGAGACAAAGAGACAGAGACAGATGGGAGAGAGAGGGAGAAAGAATCAGACACAGAAAGAGAAAGTCCGGGAGAGAGAAAGACAGGCAGAGAGCAAGAGACGGAGACAGATGAGGAATCAGAAAGAACGGGGAGAGAGAGACAGGAAGAGGAGACCCAGAGACACAAAAAGAGACAAAGACAGACAAGAGAGTAAGGGAGAGAGAAAGAAAGACAGAGACAGAGACTCAGAAACGGAGAGATGGAGAGAGAGAGGAGACAGAGAGGAGAGACAGAATGGGCGAGATAGAGAAGGGGAGAGACACAGACAGAAACGAAGAGAAAAGAAAGAGAGAGACAGATACAGGGAGGAAGAAACAGAGAGATGGGGAGATGAGAGACAGAGACACACAAAGAGAAGGTCAAGGAGAGACAGAGAGAGTTGGTGAGGGAGAAAAACAGAGATAGCGACAGAGGAGGGAGAGAGAGATGAAGAGACAGAGACAGAGAGAGATGGAGAGCCAGAGAGAATTACAGAGAAAGAGAGAAACAGACAGGGACAGGAGAGACCGCTGCGCGGGCGGGGCGGCGGGGAAGTCAAGGCCGGAGCGCGGCTGCTCTCACCTGGCGTCGGCGGCGGCCGCCCCCCCGGGCCTGGCTCAGCAATTTAAGGGGCACCCCGGGGGCGGGGCCGTCCTCCCCCACTGCCTTATCCGGCCAGATCCCAGCTCCCCGAGCTAAATCGGGCCTCAGCTGTTGGCACCAGGGGGCGCGGGGACAGCTGTCATACAACATCCCCCTCTCCCCGCACCTGCCTCGTGACCGCAGCCCTTCCCCCACCAAGAGGCCCCTGCGCCGTCTGCCTGGGGCGCCCCCCAACGACGGGCAGCCGAGACCCCTTCCTGCCCATTCAACTCTGGGACTGGCCCGCTGGGCGCCCCCGGGCAAGAGGAAACCGTGAGAAGTGGGGACCCCTGAGAAGTTGCTCCCCTAAAAAGTAGGAGGGGCAGTGTGATTGAACAGGGAAGTCCTGCAAACAGGAAGCGCTCAATCAGTGCCCAGGCCGAGCCACCCCAGGTTAGCGCATGAAGGGGCCAGGAGCAGGAGGGGAAGGGCCCCCTGCCCCCAGCCCCCACAATGAGCCTCACCGCCTCACCCGGGACCATATTTGGCCAAAGCTGAGGTCGCATCTGGGGAGATCACAGCCCTGTCACTCAGGCCCGAGAATAGAAACACTCAGGAGGCCCGCCAGGCTGTCTGGGACCAGACCAGAGAGGGGACAGAGGACAGGCACTGGGGGGGGGGGAGCGAGGGGCGAGACGAGGCAGAGTCACTCAGAGAGAAGGTGAGAGAAAGGCAGATAGAGAGGCAGAGAGAGACCTCGAGAAATGGAGAAAGACACACACACAGAGAAAAAGAGAGGCTGAGACAGAGAGGGTGATAGAGACAGATAAAGAGACAGAGATGAAGACAAAGACACAGAGGAGAAAGACAAAGAGATAGAGGGAGACAGAGGGACTCAGACAAACAGAGACAAAGGGAGCAACAGGGTCAGAGAAAGAGACAGAGGGAGAAAGGCCACCAGGAAGGAAGCGCGGGTGTTGGGGTTTGGGTGGGATGGGGCGCAAGGGCCGCCCTGGGAGTTGGAGTGCTCGGGCCCCAGTGGTCTTTTCCTCTTGTGCTACGTTTGGCTTTTCACTTTTCCGTCTGCCTTCTGATGCCCCGGCTTTCATGAGGCATCTTGCGGCAGCGGCTGCCTTGCCCTGCTCCGGGGTCAGGGCTGAGCTTGTGTCCTTCCTATCCTTGGATGAATTCGCTGCCCACGTGGAGTCCGGCCTGAGGCCGAGTGGTAGAGATGCACCCACACTGGGTACCCCCTGCCTCTCACCTGGCCTCCCCGTCACCTCAGGGTCCCCTACTTCTACCCAGCACCTGATAGGGGTCCCCAGATTTATCTAGGCCCCTTTCTCCCCTTTCCCCTCCCTGGGCTCACACCCACTTACACCTCCCAGGACAGGCCCCCAACCCTGACTCCATCTCCGGGTCCCCATTCCCTGATGTCCCCTGCCTGTCACCACCTCTACATCCCCACTGAGCATGGTATCCCCCCAAACCCACTCCTCCTCCTTGCGGGTTCCCAGCACTTGTGGTGAGCCAACTGTCCCTCCCGTTACCACTCCACCTGGTCACAGGGCCAGACCCCCAGGATCCTCTTCTCTCCCCCACCCTCCTGAGCCCACCAGGCCAAACCCCGTCCTCTCACTCTCCTCAGTCACTTCCTCTTTGTCACACCCTGTCCCCAACCGCAGGACCCTCCCACTAGCCTCCCTGGCCTCCAGCCTCCCCCTCCAGTCCATCTCCACAGGGCCTCAGAGGGGTCTTCCTACACTCAGAGTGGACCTGCCCCTGCCTGCTCACCGCCTCCCTTCTCCACAGCCCTGCTCCCATCAGCCCTCGGCTTGGTGCTCAGCTCACTCAAGGCCCTCCCTGCTTTGGCTCCTGGCGAGGATTCCCCCTCATCTCGCATCACCTCCTAAAAGACTGTGACAAATATGAAATACTTGCATGTCATAAATGTCCCAGGTCTCATTCCAAGTGATCTCCAGTTCCGGAAAGACCCTGCCCCCTTCATCCTCCAGTGTTGTTGTTGGGTGCCGTCAAGTTGATTCCGACTCCTAGTGACCCCATGTGACAGAGCAGAACTGCCCCATCGGGTTTTCTTGGCTGTAATGTTACCGAAGGAGCCCTGGTGGCACAGTGGTTAAGAGCTCAGCTGCTAACCAGAAGTCAGACACAGGCAGGCTGGGAGCAAATCAGCAGGTTTATTGAGGCAGCAGCGGCATTGGGAGGCAGGGGCATAGGGAAAGGGTTGGCCTCCATGAGGTCCAGGAAGCGGGGTCCTGGTCCTCCCCCGGCACAGGCAGCCAACATGAACCACACCAGGCAGGCAGCGGATGAGCCCCGAGGTGGTTGTGGTCTTCCTCCGTGGGGTCAGTCTGTCTGTAGCCAGCAGCCCTTTTCCTCCACCTCTTTGGTCACCACCAGCAGCACCTCACACAGGCCCTGAGCCAGTGCAGCTGCCAAGAAGGCCCTGGGTGGGGAGGGAGGGGGAGACTGAGGCACGGGCAACCTGGTGGTTCCTTCTGGGGCATGGGGTTTGAATGCTGAGGCAGGACCTCACAGTCACTGCTGCCCTGGCTTACCTGACACCGTCCTCGTCCCCGAGGGCCTCAGGTGCCCGAAGCTTGGAGTCCAGGTTGTAGTAGACACCGTCCACTTGGCGCAGGGCCACCCAGTGCCGCCGGCGTAGTGGCAGGGACAGCAGTCCAAGCGACACAGGTGAGGGCAGGTTCAGAATCAGCCCCAGCACCTGAGGCAGGGCCAGCTGGGACAGGGGCCTGTGATGGGGGAGGATACAATGGTTCCCAGTGTGTACCCACTGATCAAATGTTACTGAGAGTGTGGGGCCCAGGCGGGTGTGGGCAGGGGTGGCGTCCTGAGCCCACCCAAGGACTCTCCTTAATCAACCCACACTGTTTCCTTACATTCACCCACCCAACCAAACCTTCCACCCATCCATCCAACCACCATCTACCCAACCAAACCTTCCACCATCCAGCCAACCGACTACTCAACTCCACCATCCACCCAACTCCCCATCTACTCTTTACCCAATTACCATTGATCTATGCATTACCCACCATGCATCCATCCATCCACCCACTTACCCAACCACCCACCCATCTGTCCAAATCTCCCATCAACCACCTAATAACCATCCACCATCCATCTGTCCTTCTACTATCCGTATCCATCCATCCATCCATCCATCCACCCAAACACCAGCCAGTCAGCCACCTACCTAACAACATATTCACCCAACTCCTCATCCACTCTTTACCCATCCACCATCAACCTATCCATTATTGATCCATTATCCATTATCCACTCGCTCATTCACCCAACCACCATCTATCCATCCACCCATCCAAACCTCCCATCCATCCATCCAACTCCCCAACAACCTATTTGCTATTCACTATCTAGCCCTGGTGGCACAGTGGTTAAGAGCTCGGCTGCTAACTAAAAGGTCAGTATGTTTGAATCCACCAGCCGCTCCTTGGAAACTCTATGGGGCAGTTCTGCTCTGTCCTACAGGGTTGCTATGAGTTGGAATCAACTTGACAGCAATGGGTTTGGTTTTGGGGTTTACCTACCGACCAAGAAGCCCTCGTGGCACAGTGGTTAAAGAGCTTGGCTGCTAACCGAAAGGCTGGTGGTTCGAACCTACCAGCCACTCCGCAGGAGAAAGATGTGGCAGTCTGCTTCGATAAAGATTATAGCTTTGGAAACCCTATGGGGGCAGTTCTACTCTGTCTTAATAGGGTTGCTATGAATTGGAATTGACTCGTCGGCAACAGTTTTTTTTTAACCTACTGACCGTCAACCACTATTCACCCAACCACCCATTCACCCACCCACACAGCCACCCAACATCCATCTATCCTACTATTCAACCACCTACTTGCTCTCCACACCTACCAACTATCAATCAACCACTCATTATCCATTCATACACTTCATCACCCAACCACCCATTCATTTATTCACCCAATTACCATCAATCTACTCATCATTCATTCATCAACTCATCCCACTGACCATTTAGTCACTTCCCTCTTCTACCCATCTACCAATCATCCATCCGCCCACCTAACCATCCACCAACCATCTACCATCTACCCTTCCTTCCTGCTATCCACCCATGCCCCCAGCCACCCTCCTCCTTGCTTCATTCCACATTTACTAAGTGGCCCTCTGTGCCCAGCCCAGCTCCCATGATGCAGCGCTCTGGATCCTACCTCCTTCTGTCCCACCACACAGCGGCCAGGCCCAGCCCCTGAAGGGCAGCCATAATCACATTGACGTCATAGTTGCCGGTGCCCAGGAGGCTGCGATGGGGGTTCAGCCGGGAGTCTGGTGCCAACCTGGTTGCGGGGGGTGGTCAGAGCCTGAGTTGGGGAGCCCCTGGAAAGGGCTCACCCTCCCTACAAAGCAGGAGAGTCATCCCTACCTTTGGACTGTTTCCTCCCTTCAACCTCCACAACTCGTCAGCATCTAGGCCCTGTCCCTCTTGCTTGGTGACTCTCTCTGCCGTGTCCACAAGTCGTCAGCTCAGGCTTTGTCTTCTCCTATCTGAACCCTCAACGCAACCTCCTCCTGGGCCTCGAGTCTCTCCCTCCAGCCCATCTCCTACATGGCTCCAGAGGGCTCTTTCTACACTCAGAGCCGGCCCCGCCTCTCCCCAGCTCACAGCTCTCCCTGGCTCCCCAGCACCCTCAGGATGGACTCTCAGCCCCTCAACTTGGCATTCGAGGCCCTGCATGTTTTGGTCCCTGCTCACCTCTTAGCCTCAGCCTCACCCCACCTCTTCCCAGCCACCTGTTCCCCAACCGCATTGCCAATGTTCCAGCCTATTGGCCTTCCCTCCAGCTGTTCCCCCAGCCTGGGAGGCCCAGCCTGTCACCACTTGTTTCTGGGCCACACATCCTCTGAACAACAGTCCCTCTGTTCTCTATCTGGGCCCTCGGTGGGTAGGGCAGGGGAGGGGCAGGGGAGGGGAAAGTCTGTGGATTCCTTTTCTGTGTCTCTGTTTCCCTCACCAGACCAAGGGCTCCCCCAGGGCCGGGCTCCTATCTGATTCATTTCTGGGCCTCCAACATAGCTTTGGCATGAAAGAGCTGGTCAATCCCTGATTTGAATAATGAAGGAGCTGAATATATTATATAAAAACCAGTCTGAGGGGCTGGGACTCAACCTGAAGACACTGAGGAGCTCTGGGAGAAAGACCACTCTGGGACCTCATAGGCAACAGGTTGGGAGGCTGGGGTATGAGTACAGGCAGGAGAGGTCAGGGCCTGAGTTGGGGCTGGGGCTTCCAGGACAGAGAGGAGGGGAAGAGCAGAAGGATGATAAAGCAGTGATGTTTGAAATCTCGAACAGTAAGGAAAACCATGCCAGGCTGCAGAGAGAAGGAAGCTGTGCCAGCAGAAAGAATAGCTTGTGCAAAGGCCCTGTGGTGGCGCAGTGGTTAAGTGCTCAGCTGCTAACCAAGGTTGGCAGTATGAACCTACCAGTCGCTCCATGGGAGAAATATGTGGCAGTCTGCTTCCATAAAGATTACAGCCTAGGAAGCCCTATGGGGCAGTTCTAGTCTGTCCTGTAGGGTCGCTAGGAGTTGGAATCAGCTTGAGGGCAATGGGTTTGTGTACTTGTGGTTATAATCCCATTCGGGAACAGGTTTACTGTGTTATGTTAATGAGGCAGTATTAGTGTAGAGTGTGTCATAAATTAACCTCTTTTGAGATATAAAAGAACAGATTAAGCAAGCAGGCACAAACAGAGGGGAAGATACATGCCAAGTAACCAAGGAACAGAAGCTAAAAAGAGATAAGGACCTTCCCCCAGGGCAGAGAGAGCCTTCCCTTAAAGCCAGTACCCTGAATTTGGACTTTCAGCTCTCCTAAACTGTAAGAAAATAAATTTCTGTTCATTAAAGCCACCCTCTTGTGGTGTTTCTGTTACAGCAGCGCTAAGTAACTGAGACAAGCAGTTTGAGTTGAGGGGTGCAGTGAGAGATGAAGCTGCAGAGCTGGGTGGGGACCATAGCACGCAGAGCCTTGGATCTCAAGCTCAGGGGCTGGGCTTTGTCCAGAGGTACTGGGGAGCCATGGGAGGCATGTCAGCAGGGCAGGGTGGGGTTAGCTCTGGGGTCAAGTGCAGGACGAACTAGAGTGGAAAGACTGGAAACTGGGAGGCCAGCAAGGAGGCTGGGACGAGAATCCAGACTAGAGAGGGTGAGGCCTGAACTGGGACTGAGGCCATGAGGGCAGAGAGGAGCAGGAGGGACCATCTCCACCAGCCCAGGTGGGGCGAGCAGGACAGAAGAAAGCTCCCTGGCTCTGCCCTGCCTCCCTGTGAGACCCAGGGGAGTGGCAATGCCTCTTTGAGCCCTGTGTCTCCAGGTGCCAGCATTTGGGGTGGGTGACAGTCACCTCTTGCAGATCTCATCGGCAGCCTCCTGGCTGAAGAGCTGCTGCTGCAGGACGTTGTTGAGGGCGTGGACGGCACACAGCTCCAGGCGCTGCCGCTCGTGGTACACACAGGGTGGGCTCGGCCGTGCTCCTGGGGCCTGGGACATAACGTCCTCGGCTCCTGTGGGGGGGGGTGGGTAGGACTCAGGGATTAGGATCTGGAGGCCCAGAGGCTGAGGTCCAACCTCCCAGCAGGCCCTTGAGGGCACTGTCATTGAAGTGGGGGCTTGGGGCAGCCTGGAAGGACACTGGGCCCCTGATCTGCTCCCTAGGCACAGAGGTATCTCCATCCCCTGCCCCTAAAAACAAGGGTCTCTCTTCTGTCCACCTAGCAACAGAGGACCCCCCCCCCCCACACTCCTAAGTAAAAAGGTCCCTATGTTGGTTACCTAGCAACAGAGCAGTTCCCCCCACCCCGTCCCTAAGTAACAGGACCCCTCCTGGTTGCCTAGCAACAGAGGACCTCCACCCCCACCTCACTAGGTAACAAAGTCTCTTTTCTGGTTACTTAGCAATAGAGGAATCCTCCTCCCTTGCCTCTAGGTATTAGGGTCTCTTCTGGTCGCCTAGCAACAGAAGACTCCCCCTCCCCTGTCACTAAACAACTAGGTTCTCTCCTCTAGTCACGTGGCAACAGGGCCCACTAGCCAATCACTAAGCAACAGGGTCCCCTCCTGGTATCACCTGGCAACTAGGCCCCTGCCCCGGACATTAAGCTGTAGAACCCCTTTCCCTGACCCGTACCCCAGCCGCGGCGCTCGCCCGTTGCCTGGCAACGCCGCTCACCCCGCCTGCCTCTCGGCTCCCCCGAGCCAGGGGCTCCCGCATCCCCCTGGGCGGTGGCTCCGGGCGCCGAGTTCGGGGCGGGCAACTCAGCACTGACTGGGCAGGCGGAACGGACTACAGCTCCCGGCGGCCCCCACGTGCCGGACTACGACTCCCGGCTGCCCCCGCGGAAGCACTGGCTGCGTACGGAACGCCGGGAAGGGGTGGACCGGAAGTCTGCTGTCCCACAAGAGAAGGCAGGACTACAACTTCCGTCGGCCTTTGCGGCGAATCTATAAATACACCTCTCCCTCCGCCTCTCGCAGCGTGCGTACTACTTCGCCCTCTGCTCCTCAGAGGATTCTGGGAAGTGTAGTGCAGAAGCTCTCGCGATAGCTGCTTTGGGTTTTTTTTTTTTTTTTTTTTTTTTTGCCCCTAAATGTGCCCGCCTCCCGCGATGGCGTCATGCACAATGTGCAGAGCTGGCGTGACGTCACAGAAGGGAAACAAGAGACGTGAGACACACCAGGACTCTGCAGGGGGAGGAGCCCCCGATCTTTACTTAAACAGGAGGGAGATCTGGGGAAACTGAGGCCAGGGCAGGCGTGGGACGGTGGTGGTGGTGGGTGGGGAGGTAAATGACATGAGGATGTTCTCATGGGAGGGAAGAGGCTTCTCAGCAGAGATGGATCCCCGGCTTGGAGGGGAGCTGGCAGCAGCCTGCAGGGGAGAGATGGAGAATTAAAGACTGAGACAGAGGGAGAGACAGAGAGCTAGAGATGAGGAGAGATAGACACCTGGAGGTGGGAGGGAGAGGACAGAGTGGGGGGGAAGTCATGAACTGAGACTCAGAGAGAGAGGGACAGAGACCCAGAGAGAGGGGGACAGAGACCCAGAGAGGGAAGGAAAGAGACCCAGAGAGGGGGACAGAGAGAGAGGGGGACAGACACCCAGAGAGATGGGGACAGGGACCCAGAGAGAGAAGGGAACAGAGACCCAAAGAAAGGTGGAAAGATACTCAGAAGGGAAGAGAGACCTAGAGGGAGGGGACAGAGACCCAGAGAGGGGACAGAGATCAGAGGGGGGGGGGACAGGGACCCAGAGAGAGAGGGACAGAGACCTAGAGAGAAGGGGGCACAGAGACCCAAAGAAAGGTGGACAGATATAGGGGAACAGAGACCTAGAGGTCTCCTAGAGGAAGGGGACAGAGACCCAGAGAGTGGAGGACAGGGACCCAGAGAGAGGGGGACAGAGACCCAGAGAGAGAAGGGAACAGAGACCCAGAGAGAGGGGGACAGGGACTCAGAGGGGAACAGAGACCCAGAAGAGAGACATGGCCAGAGAAAGAGACATATAAAGCTTCAAAGACGTGTAGGGAGACAGTTAAGGAGCATCAAATACAGACCAAGCAGCAGAGACACAATCTGAACCAGGCAGAGCCCAAGATCCCATACTCTGTGGAACACACGTGCCCAGGCCCCGGGGGAGGAGGGGCCCCTGACACTGGGGACGGGCCTGGGCGTACCCAGGAGGCTTCGCCAGAAGGCAGTGAGGGTGGCAGAGCCAGTGACAGCACCCGGCTCGGCAGGGTTCTCTCTGCGGGTGTGCACAGCGAAGCTGCGGCCTGTGGGGCCCGGGGGTCCGCTCAGTTCCACATCCACCACATGCATGTTTGGGAGGCTAGGGCAGGCAGGGCAGTTAGTTGGGTTGGCCTGGCCTCTGACCGCACCCCCACCCCCGCCTGGCTGGGCTCACCTGAGGTCTGCCACCAGCACCCCGATGACGCGGTCGAAGCCCAGGCTGGGGGCGGCCAGGGCAGCGGCTGCCATGGTGTTGGAGTTCCGGGGGGCCCAGGGGCACAGGCCTCGGACGGGGCCCTCATAGAGCACCGTGCGGGGCCCGGTCCTGGGGGCTGTGGCCAGGGGCCCCTCGAGCCTGAAGCCATCGGGGTGTGTGGCCATGGTGACGCGGAGGCTCTGGAAGCGAGACCTGGGGTCAGGGGGCGGGGGTCTCTGCATGCACCCCTCAGTTCCTGGGGAGCCCTGTGGGCCCTCACCTGAAGGCCCCCTGCCGCATCCAGTCTGGTGATGTCCTCAGAGCCCCACAGGGCCCCCCGGGCGACGAACACGGCGTGGCCCCAGTGATGGGAGGCCTCCCGGAGCCGTTGCTCGGTGGCCTGGTCAGCCAGGGCTGAGGGGGACCCCACCTGGGGATGTATGAGTGGGGGAGGGGCTGAGGTCTGGGCTTGCGGGTGAGGTGGGGTCGAGGCAGAAGGGGCAGGGGCTTGGGGTCATAAGTTGAGGAGGGGCTTACCAGCAGATTGGCGTGGCGCAGGATGCGTGCCCCAGAATCATGGATTATTTTGGGGTGGGCCACTTCCACCACCAGATCGGGGTGCCTGGAAAAGGGGAGAGATGGGAGAGGGCCTGGGAGAGGGTTTGATCCCTGCCCCCTAATTCCTTCACAGGCTGTGTGCACCTGCCCCTTTTAAGTGTGGGTGAATTGAGGCTCAGAGAAGGCGAAGGTTTCGTCTGAGATCATAGAGCAGTTGAGTGAGGGCAGAGCAAAACCTTCCAGGAGCCCTGCTGGCCTTGATGAGGTCACTGACCTCTCACTGAGGGCATTGAGGTCCTGGAGCTGCAGAACGGGGGGCACAGTCCCTGCCATTCGTCCTGGGTCCCGATTCCAGACAAACACAAGTTCTAGGCCCATTTCTGGCCCCTGAGCCAGCAGGTGGGAGACAAGGGACTGTCCTGGGAGAGGGAAGAGAGGGGGATAGAGACCCAGAGAGAGGAGGACAGAGACTCAGAGAGGGGGACAGAGACCCGGGGGGGGACAGAGACCCAGAGAGAGAGGGGGACAGAGACCCAGAGAGAGGGGGACAGAGACCCAGAGAGAAAAGGACAGAGACCCAGAGAGAAGAGGACAGAGACTCAGGGACAGAGACCCAGAGAGAGGGGGACAGAGACTCAGAGAGGGGGACAGAGACGCAGAGAGGGATACAGACACCTAGAGAGAGGGGGACAGAGACCCAGAGAGAGGGGACAGAGACCTGGGGGGGGACAGAGGCCCAGAGAGAGGGGGACAGAGACCT